CGTTTCGCAAGAGAGGGAACTGCTCACAAGACCGGCCTTGGAGAGGGCAGGCGTTCGGGAGAGACCTTGAGGAGGCCTGAGCCGGAGGACAGCTGAAGGACAGGGAGAGAACTCTGCATAGGGCAGGAACAGCCAGGATCAAGGAAGATGTATCGGCATGTTATGTTCGAGGGTGCTGTGCAGCCAAAAAAAAAGGGGGGGGAGGATGAGAGTCCTCGAGTTCTTGTGTGCTTTCCTGTGGCTTCCGACTTACAGCGACCTCGTGAACCAGCAATCTCCCGAATGCAACATCCCAGCTCAGCTCTTGAGGTCCATCCTTCTGCCATCTACACCGCCCTCGGTACCTCCTTACGGGGTTGCTTTGGGGGGAATCAAAGGAGTTCAACCCAAGAAAAAGCTGCCGAGGCGTCTTTGGGGGAAGAACAGGATAGAGAGGTAAAGAAGTCAACGGATCAAAAGGCAGGGCAAGGGGGCCGCTTCGTGGATCGTGAAATCCAACCGGTGGTGTGTGTGTGTTCAATGCAAGGGTTTTGCAGCACAGAATCATAAGACATAAATCCTATGGCAAGTCCCGACTAGAGAAGACCCATTGAATCAGCTGTAGAATTATGAATCAACACTTCGGTAAATCCCATTGAATCACTGGGCCTGCTCTAAGAGGGATTGCTGGCCACTGCATTTTGGAATGAGTAATTCGACGAAAGGTTTACAGCAACAGGAAGTAAATCCTGCATAGAAAGCTGATATGTCATTTTCTTTCAGACCTCTCTCTCTCTCTCTCTCTCTCCATTACTTTCAGACCTCTCTTTCTCTCTCTCTCTCCCTCCATTAATTTTCCGTTTGGTCTGGTGTTGCTCATCTGGGTGAATCAGGCCCTCCGTGAGAATGAGACACTGCTGACTCTCACACAATGCCTTCACTCTTTTTTCCCCACTGTAATGATTCATATCGTATTTTCGTACCAAGCTGCACGAAAGCCTCCTGCTATGTTAAAAAAAAGCACATCAGGAAGAGGCGTAAATGAGCCAAGATTTTTCCTCCTGAAATACCCGATGGATGAAAATAGTCCTTCTCAGGTGGCCCCCCGGCCAAAAAAAATCTGGATAAAGTAACCTAGTTGATCACTTGCTGCAAAAGGATGGAGGGGGAAACCAGGATTATTCCTGATATGACCAGTTGGGGAGAAATCTAGCATTTATCTACGCTGATTGAGCAAGGGCGAAATCCACGTGGAGAAGCAGACTTTTGCGGTGGAGGATGGGAAATGGATTACAACTCCCAGAATCCCCCTGCTAAATTGCATTTCATTTTGCCTTCACATGCA